TTAGGGTTTAGGGTTTAGTGCGCCGGGTGCGACCCGAATTGGATAAACTGTGACTTTAACGGCCCAGGGAGCTGGAAGGCTGACGGCTAGACATACGGACACGTGAAAACAGCGTCTGTGGGTTTAGGGTTTAGCGGTTTTGGGTTTAGGGTTTAGCGGTTTAGGGTTTAGGGATGGTGCAAAGAGTTTTTGTCCATCGGCTGCGATATGAAGGGCTTCTTGATGTCGCGAGCTGTGCCTTCTCCAGCTTGGTGTCAAGCCCGCACCCGAAAGCCCAGACACAAAGCTATTCTGGGTTTAGTCTTCTTGGGTCCTTTCTGCAGTCAGGATCGCTATACCATACAAACTCCCCTACCCACCTAGGCCACGCCAAACCAACTTTTGGGGTGAGAAGATATTTATTTCTAACGTGAGAAGATATCACCCTTAGGCACAGAACCTTAGACAAATGCTCCGGGCTTTTCAAGGGAAGACAGACTTGCAAAAGACTTGCAAGCCGAAGCTCCTAAACCCGAAATGCCGGCACCCTGAATACCTCAACCCCAAAACCCGGGTCATTGTGAAGCAACTTCGCTCTGATTAGCACTATAAGGATGTCGAGAGTCTATCAAACAAACGGTCTGTCTTCCTTCTTCTGCAAACTTAAACCTCTCATAATATAAAAATGAGCTCTTAAACAAGCACTCATAACACCGGCCAGCAAACCTTCGTAGACAGGAAGCACCCTCAAAATCCTCGACCGTCCCCCTCCTCGAAACCCAACGTTTCGACCTCAAAGCCCAGTTGGACTAACTTCACAAATTTCACAAACCCTCAAGGCCCAGAAGATGCAACGCTCCGGGTGCTCGGCTCGCTGAGACGCATCTCGATAGCGTGGCATGTGCCAGACATGTGGAGCAGTCGGACCTGGCAGGAGGGCTCAGGGCTGAGGGCTTTAGGGTGACGAAAAGAGTTCCATAAGGGTCCTGAAAGGGTTTCCATAAGGGTTCTGAAAGGAGTTCCATAAAATTTCTGAAAGGAGTTCCATAAGGGTTCTGAAAGGGTTTCCATAAGGGTTGAAATCTAGTATGCGCTAGGGTTCTATTATAGGGTCAGGGTCTTAGCTTTCTAGGGTTTAAGCTGCAGGGTTGAAAGTGTTTATGTGCTTGTCGAGCTTGGAGAACGGATATGTGTGCTGGTAGATCCTCGCTTCTCTGCCGGATGCTTAAAAACCAAAGCTGCATGACCGATTCGCGCCAGCGACACATCTCTGCCCAGAACAGTTGTTTCGGGCTTGGGGACTTCGCTGCTTGGTCAACCTTTGGGAGAATATGGGTAGTTCTCTAAATAGGGTCCCTTGTAGGGTCCTTTTTATAAGGGTGCCGTGCTATATTGGGGACCTATAGAGGGACCCGACTTTAGAGAACTGCTCATATATAGCGGGACTATACTGCCTGGATATAAAAGCTGCTCTTGAAATATCCCGGGCAATTTCAGGCAGTGGTAACTTTGAACATAAGTTTCGCAGAGCTCAAGCTGAAAGCCCCATAGCCTGTAGTCATTCTGGTTCCTATTCCCTCAGAAGGTATGTGCATGTTCGTCGCTAGGATCACCTTCAAACCCTGAAGCCCCTTCTAGAAACTTTGACGAGACCCTCCAGGAGCCCCTCAACGAGAGGAAGCCGTGGGTTGAGATAAGGGATGAAAGCTCAGGGGTTTAGCTTTTACGGTCTTCAGAAACCTGATAATATAGGGTTTAGGGTCTTCAAAAACTTGATATAGGGTTCAGGAGATAGGGTCTGCAGAAACCTGAAATGATAAACGGAGCCCTGACCCTAAACCCTAAACCCTAAACCCTACCCGATGGGCCTCGACGCCATGCTCGCACTTGGCCAGCAAAGGCAGCCGAAAGGGTGCGATGCGGTACCTCGGCTGAGGGAAACATCCTGTCATTGGAAGTTCTACACACTAGGGTTTTTCTGATTAGGCTTTTGAGTCTTGGGGTCATAGGGTTTATGGGTTTTTGGTTTAGGGTTTGTTAGGCTGAATGGCCTGTCAAAAGTCCACTGAAGTCTACACAAACGCTTGTGGGTGACGGCACAAGGCTTAGGTTCAGCTATCAAGTCTCCAGTGACGTTTAAGTACATATTTCAAGAGCTTTGTGGGCTTTGCAGGACACCACGAAACTCTCTCCGGGCGTCAAGCACAGAAGGTCTCCGAGCCTTCAGAACATGGGTGTGGGACGCTAGCGTCTCTTGGAGGAAGGCCAAGATGGGTTTAGGATTGAGGGTTAGGGTTTAGGGTTTAGGGAGGGTCGCAACTTGCAACGACGAAGGGACGCCCAACATCGTCGGGCAGATGCGAGATGCGAATACCTGGAGACTCCATGGTGTGGATGAGAAGTTTCGTCGTCGGTCGTAAGAGACATCAGTCGGGGAAGTCAGGCGTGCACTCGTGCAGAGGCAGTGCTTGCTTCGACACGATGAACTCTGCCAGGATGCTTGCTCCATCTACCCTAAATCATCCTAAATCCTAAACCCTAAACCCTCGCCACGCGTGCTCCGATCTGCACAGGGCGTGCGCGTGCGATTGAGCACGAAGGAGCCAGCAACATCGGGACATGTCTCGGAAATGCCCTTGCAGACCTGACATCTTGCATGACTTTGTAGACCTTAGTTTAGGGTTTAGGGTGTAGGGAATTCTCATGCAACATACTAAAGAGCACCTGCATTTGCGACCTCAAGGTCTTCACTGCTACGCACGCTTGTGTTCGCTGGCGCTGATTTCCTGCCGAACTCATTCACATAACCTCCTTCAAGCGCGGCATTCCTGCCTCCATGGTGCTTCATGCTTCAATGCGATGGGCTTAGGCCTAGGCTGTAGGGTGTACCTTGGAACACGGAATGAAACCTAGCCCCCACCAACCCAGCTTTAAAGATTCCACCCTAAGCCCCAAGCCTTAAAGACATGCAACCCATGGGTAGTACGTTTGGTATGCGCTGTCGTAAGCCCTAAAGAACCCACGTACGTATTGAAGACCATCTAGCGGCACAACACGTACAGCCGTGAAACAGAAACGCACAGTGGCGTGGGATTGAATCCCCAAAACCCAAATGCAGAACCCAACCGCAACCATATAAAACCCCCAACCCTAAACCCCAAACCCTGACCCCTAAATCCCCATAGGCCTTATAGGCCCTAAACCCTATAGGCCCTAAAGCCCCAAACCCCTGGGGGTTTAGGGTTTAGGGTTTAGGGTTTCGGGTTTAGGGTTTAGGGTTAAGCCAAAGCGGCGTGGGATTGAACCGGAGCTCAACATCAGCTGTCTGCCGCGGCCGCAAGGTCACGGGGTGTGCTGGCGTCCTTGGCGCTGGGTCTCAAGGGTTTCGGGGTTCAGGGCTTTAGGGTTTAGGGGTTTGGGGGTTGAGGGCTTAGGGCTTGGGATTTCGGGCTTTAGGGGTTTAGGCTTTACAGCGGTTTAGGGGTTTAGGATATGGGCTTTCAGGGTTTTAACCGCTGCGGTGCAGCTCGAGCTATTCCTGTCCTCCGTCCTCAGCACCTTTTTACAGGTTTTACTTCCGTAAACGCTAGACAATGCGTTCAGGGCCAACCCCAAAGCTTGCCGAATCCTAAGATCCCCATAAAGGCTCTAGCCTCAACAGATTCTAAAGCTCCTCAAGCCGCAAATCTCCAAACATCCAATGCGACAAAATCCCTTGCCCTACATAAGACCTCCTCATACCCTGAACAAAAATTCTACACACCAAACACAAGCTTTAAGACCGCAAATCCCCGAAACACCATTCCGCAAAAAAACCCTAATACTGACCTTGCCGTAACCTTCTTGTAATTGCATTAACGACTTTTGCACTGACCAGAAAAGAAAACCCAATTAAGCCTTTTTGCAGCAACTGTATTATAATAACCTGCTAGTAACCTTGTAGAGATCTTATTGTAATAACATTATGAGGGTTAGCCTGCTAACCTTATGATGGTAACCTGAAACCCCCAGAATCCCTCCGGCCCGACAGCTCTCCGAGCCAGCGGCCAGCTAACTGCATGCTGCGCCAGCTCTCCCTGAAAGAGGCAGGCATAACATCTGGGTGGTTGTCAAAATTAGGGTCCCTTTTTGGGTACCCTAAATATTAGGTGCCGTATTATATTACGGACCCTAAAAGGGACCATCATTTTGACAACCACCCATCTCCAAGAGGTCGGGAGATAAGAGAGGGGCACCAGGGTTCCATATAGGGTATAAGGGAGGGGTACCAAGGTTCCTTATAGGGTTTATGTAGGGTCTTGGTATTTAGATTTAGGGTTCTATAGGCGTGAGCACTTCAGGGGTCTAGTGTTGAGGGTCTGGAGTGCTTTGTGGTTGCTTTGGGGCTCGGAATTTCCTAAGGCTTCAGGAGAAGTTCAATGAGGACTTTAAACTTTGTAAGGGCTCTGTAATACTCTGAAGGCTTTACACAGGCTTCTGTGAGATGTTCAGAGGCGTATGTAGTCTGGCCTTGTAGTCGTATTGACGGATCGCAGGGTTTCTTCCAGGGCATTCTTGATATTGGGCAGCGATGTTTGGGAAGGGTCGGCCGCGCCATCGTCACGTGCGGCATCTTCTTTGCGAGGCTTACAGGTACGGCTAAACCAGGGAAACTTATAAGAGAGAAATCGCACTTCCTGTACCTGTTCTATCATGCTACGTTAAATCCCATACCGACTTCTACCCCTATTCACGCAGCACTCACCTTGAAGCTGCAACCTCCAACAAGCCCCAAGCCACTTCCCTCGTCCTTGTACTAGCATCTTCGGTGTAGGGAGACGCGACGCAAAGAAGCTCAGACGCTGGAGCCCCGAAGTGATAGATTGAAATAATGTAGGGGCCTTAATAATTAGAATAGGGTTTTGAGGTATATTATACTATAATCATACTGAGGAACCCCCAAAATAGTATTGGCAATTATTGAAGCCCCTCCCTATATTACTGACAAAGAGAAGCCAGTACTCGTGTGTCCAATCCTCATCTCCAAAACTCTGATCTTGCAGCCCTACACCCAGAACTTCCAGAACAGGTCAAACATGCACGTTGTCGCCGGGATTGCACCTGTTTGCGAGGTATAGAAAACTGAGACAACAAATCCATCAACACGCGATCACGAACACCCTGGAAGACTCTGCGCTGCCCAAGTCGTAACCCTAGGTGCTCACTATGTTAATCAGGGCGTGGGTCTTTTCGTGGCCACGAATTCCCCGTTGAATCCGGAAATCTCCGTGCGCGTTCAGCTGCGGCTTGAGGCTGAGGGTGCATCTAGACGTCTCAGCCCTAAACGCGCAGCCCAAACCCCCAAGCTCCTTATAGCCACACCTAAAATCCTAAGGGCATCTAAACTCCTTCATACTCCATCTAAACCCCTTATCTGACATGGCATGATGGCCAAACTCATGGGATCCCCTAAGGTGCCATAGGCAAGGCTCACATACAGCATGTCTTACATAACCCTGAAAGGCACACTTAAAGGATCCTGGAGGGAACCCTTCCAAAGACCCTAAACCCTAAACATTAAACCCTCCTAAACCCTAAACCTTTAGGGTTTAAGGTTTAGGGTTTAGGGTTTAGGGTTTAGGGTTTAGGGCCTCCCAAACTGAAGCCCCTCTCCCTACCCTTCTACAAATCCGGAAGAACCCCTGGTTGCTTGAAGGAAGCCTCACCGGACCCCTACGAGCAACCCTAAACCTGGAAAACCCCAAGCAACCTACTGTTGTTACTCTTATTGGTTATTATGTCTTTTTACTATGGTAATGAACTGAGTAGGATTGATACTACTTTTATCATGATGTTGTTATAATTATTGCTGTCCTTATTTGTCAATATTACTATCGTTATTAGCTTTGCTATGATTACTGTTATGACTACGAGTATTCTTACTGCTATGCAGAGACGGCCTTCTCGTCGCTCAGCTCGAAGGTCACCGGCCGAGGGGACCGGTTCACGAGGCGCACTTGCCGGGCGACGGGCTCGTTGCCTTCTTCAGTTGCTTTCTGAAGGTTAGGGTTTAAGATGAACGGGGTCAGGGGATTTAGGGCTCAGGGGCTTAAGGCTTAAGAGGCTGCTTTTCTAAAGTAGTAGTTAAGATTGCGGGGACCGTTGGGGATATAGACGCTCTCAATAAGGTCCATTTTAAGAGAACCATGAGTAGGGTTAAGAAAGGTCCCCTTGAAGGGGTCTCCCTAATACTACCTAGGACCTAAGATAAAAGTTGGGGCTAGGTTCACGCGGAGTTAGGGGATTTCGGGCTAAGGGGCTTAAGGCTTAAGGGTGTTAAGGCTGCCTTCTTCAGGTTGTGGGTACCTTTTTTTCGGGATTGTACGGCTAAGGCTTTAACAATGTCGGTTGCCTTCTTCAGGTTTTGTGTCGCTTTGCAGGGCTTGGCTTTGTCGGACCTGGGTGGTTTGCAGTTGCCACAGAACCAAATGCATTGGAATTTCCAGAGAAGGGCTCACACACACACACACACAGACACATACACAACTCTCCTACGGAACGCCTGAAAGTGACCCGTGCAGCACACGTATCGCCTTTCGTCACACCGAAGTCGATGTTCTGCATATCAGTGTCGGTGAGCTCCAACTTCAGCGGACAGCCACGGCCACGAATGTCCACGTGCCTCGGGCTTGCTGTGTTGCTTGTGGCGTCGCTTAGGCTTCGAAGTTCGAAACAGAAGCCTCCAAACTTTGTGAATCGAAGGTGTGGGATCGCGGGTTCTGGGTTCTGGGGTCCAGGGGTTTACAAATTTAGGGCGAGGACTATGGGTCGAGGGCCAAGGGTTCATGAGGGCTGAACAGGTCCAGGCTTTCCATCCCTTTGCAAGTTTTACTGGGGATTGCAGGAAGGAGCCCTGACAATAGCCCAGTGGTTCCTGGGTTTAGGGTTGATAGTATACCCACCTAATCCCACCTATTCGGCTTCTTCAGCTCGATTGGAGAGCAGTTTAGGCTGGCTGTTCTATTACAGTGCATGGGGTCGAAGTCGGGTGCGAAGCTTGCCGCAAGGTTGCATTCGGGTGTAGTCGTTGACGACAAACTCAATGCGCTGCATGTACTCGCAGACCTGGTGCGTCTGACGCAGTTTGGGATGGAAGCCCCAAGCCACACCAAACCCTAAACCCAAAACTCAAAATCCAAAACCCTATTAAACCCAAAACCCTAAACCCAAAATCCAAAACCCTAAAACCCTAAACCCCAAACCCAAAACCTGAACCCCTGAACCCTACTAAGCCCTCAACCCCGGGTTGAGGGCTTTGCGGCCTTTGAGTTTAGGGTTTCTGCCAGCAAACTAGATCGAATAGCCCAGCTATCGATCGCAATGGCAGAGGGCAAGCTTCCAAAATGGGAGGTAGAGGAATGTGACGTAATGTAGGGGCCTAAATGCCTAACACAGCTACACAAATATGGCATTCTTGCACCAGTGTACTGATATCACGCAACAATGTATGAACATATCGCACAGCCAGAACAGTTGAACACCTCACCATCTATCCGAGCAAGCGACGAGCACCGGCTACGTACTGCCACAGCAAGCCCAAAGCTCAAACCCTGAACCACTAAGCCCTTACAGCGAATCCCTTGAGCCTATTTCCAAGGGCAAGCAAAACCCGATCGCTACACTCGACCTACCTGCTACTCCGTCAGCGCCAAAGCCTAGCCCACAACTCGTAACTCTCAACACTAAGTCCTCAACACGAAGAGTTATATTTTCGGATCTGGGGTTCCCCAAAACCCCTTTTGTTACTATAATTTTTGTTGTTATTGTTACTATTAAGTTCTTATCAATACTATTACGAGATTGAAGACCACAACCCGGAAACTTTTTGGTCCACCAGCAGAAACATGCTCTCTGAACCCGGCATCAACGAGAAGTCCCACCTCTCTTGGAGAGAAGACGATGGGGATACGCCTCGCCATGTGAGTTTTGTTTTAATGGTCCAGGGTTTTAGGGTTGCGGGTTTAGGGGCGTCTTTCTTAATTTCAGTGAGATAATAACCATGTGATGCTGAGCATAGCTTGCTGCGAATCTCCGCGCCAATGATTGCATGCCCATTCATGGTTCCGGCCTTTCGTGGCTTCTTAGGATTCCCACCCTCAGTGCTAGTGTCAAGGGTGATGGCGGCGGAAGCAACGACATCAGGTTCCGGCGGCAGTGACGGCAGTGGTGTTCCAAAGCCCTGCTGCGAGGCCTTAGATCCTACACATGATATTCTGAAACTCCGAAAACCCAACCTTCCGACCTTAGCTCCAACCTGCACACAGAAGTCGAGCGGCTGAACGGTCGCGGGTTTCGAGTTCCGGGGCTTTGGGCTTTGGATTTTGGGTTCAGGGCTTAAGGTTCTACAGGCTTCAGGGTTTCGGGCCTAGGATCCCTAACCCCTAAGCCCTAAAGCCTAAGCCCTACAACGTTTGTAACTTTACATTTTTTAGAACACCTGGCCACCCTGATGTCTGAGGCGGCGACAAGGTTCCACCGGCTTCGATCATGGCGGCGTTCAGCTGAACATCCAGCCATGGCTCCCTGAAAAGAGGGGGGTTTAGGCATGTCTGGGCTGTAGGGTCTCGTGTTGCAAGGTTTAGGGCTTAGGGCCTAGGGAATAGGATGCGTGTGCAGGTTTTAGAACAACTTAGGGCAGATGGGGGACTCAGAAAGTAAGGTACCTAAGTTGGAGGACCCCTCTCTGCCCTGTCTTTTAGAGCTAGCCAGAACCAGGAGCCATATAGTACCCTTCTAGAAACCTTTTAGAAACCCTTATAGATCCCTGTAACGAAACCCAAAAGGGACCCTACTTTAGAGAACCACCCTTAATGCAAGACTGCTCAGGCGCATCACTAAACACCCCAATGTAGGGCTCAGGGCTTAGGGATAGGGCGCAAGCCGTGGCTGCCAGCGCCAGATCAATAAATCCCTTCGCCGAAGACTAACCCCCATGCCCTAACACTAAATATGGTCCCCTTATAGAGAATATGGTCCCTTTATAGATATGCGATTACAGGCAGTATGAACCGAAGATGAGTCAACCCTAAACTCTACACTACACCCTAAAGCCCGAAGGTTCTCAAGCCTAAATTGATTTGCAGGGCTTTCTGTTTTGCGAGTCGTAAAGCCCTGCAGTCGTAAAGCCCTGCATGGGAAACTGGCTTCGGGTTCAGCTTGAAAGTCGTCAGGCTCCGATCTCGCCGAACTGAGGGGTACGGGTGGTTGGGGATTAGGGTTTAGGGTTTAGTTTTTTTTTTTAGCGCCCCTTTTACCGTTCGCAGAAGCATCCAGTAAAGCCAGTTAGGCAGGCGTCCAGGTCGGACAGTTGTCGACGACCGCAAAAACCCTCTCACTCGGACGACTCAGACATTCGACACAGCAATCCCTCTCTTGTCCCCACCACCGCAACGCCTCACATGTCTTCTTCGGACCCTTTCCCTGCATCATCGGCACATCGGGGAGCACTCTCTTTCACAGGGTTTAGGGTTTAGGGTTTAGGGTTTAGGGACAGGATCTTTTGCTACTTGTACCTGCTTTGAATCTCCCCAGTATGGCTGCATCTAAGGCTGGCATTCTCAGGATCTGGAAGTCTCTGGGTGCTGCTTCTAAGGAACTGACAACGTGCATTCAAGCGACGAGGTTACTTCAACACCCATCAATCCTAAACGAAAGCTTCGAAACACACAGAACTACGGACCATGCAGGGGCATCAGCCACTAAACTTCGACTTAGGGAAATCCTCAACCTACAAACCCTCAAGCCGACAACCTATTCCCTCAAGCCACAAAGCTTCAACCCAAACGACCCACGACACGGCAGTCCCACCTCGTGAACGTCGTGGAGATCAAGCAATCGCTGTCGTCGCGATTTGTGGCAACCAGTTCCATTCGCTCGTACCTGCTTGCGCTTGGGCACGGCACGAAATACTCACTTTGCTGGCAACTGCACGCAATCTGCTCACATGTCAGCGACACGGCGTGGCGCAGTTGCCTGTATTTGGTGTCGTGTCGAGCATAGGCAAAAACCCACCCTAAACCCTATTCCCTTAGCCCCAGAGAGACCCTCAACCGAAGCCCCTAACCCGTGACAGAAACTTTCATCCTGACAGCTCCTCAGAATCCAAAAGACCAGACGCAAAGCGCTAAACTCTGTCCTCAACCTTTCTCCCAAGCAATACTGAAGACCCGCTGATGCTAGCAACGCTTACCGAAACAGGTCTCCTTCAAGGAGGGGTGTCGGGATTTTTGTTCAATTTCCAATCCTATGTTATGTTCCGATGAATCGGCCCCAACAGTTCGCAAACCCTACCTATCTCAGACATCCACTTGAACCTGCCGACCCTTTGAGGTTGTAGGGTGTAGGGTTGAAGGATTTTCTTGGTTGATATTGGCTGCATGGTCTATCAGCAGCACCAGGCTCTCCTTGCAACGGCAAACACCGACGGCAAACTCCCCGCTGTCGAGTACTTGGAGGATCATGGGACTGAGTAAGTAAGGTTATAAGTCCCCTAATTGGGGTTATAAGTATAGTTACCTTAGTTATAACTCTACTTACTAAGTCCCATGGTCCTTTAAGTAGGGCACATGCAAGCGCATGTTCAGAGACATATGTCAGCCTGGCATTCGCTCCCTTTGTCTTGGCGTACTGTTCGTACACTGACTTTCAAGCCAGGCGCGGCTACACTAAGCCATTGCGCAAGGAGATCCAGCAACGCAGAGTATGCGACATAGATGGCGACAAATCCGTGTTCCGGAACCAGCCGCTGCGTGTGCTGTAGGTTGTAGCGTGGTGTTCGAAACCCGATGTCGCCAGCCAAACAGGCATCTGTGCCTGCGGTATTAGGTTTCCTCCGGGAACCGTCACCACCCAAACCCTGAGCACTGAACACCTACGAAGTCTATCCCAGAAAAATCCAAGAAACAGAACCTTCAATCTCCTTGAGTGATTTGCGCGCAGGACCCTTAACCCCAAAGCCTCAAAGCCCTCCAGTACAAGGATCTATTGTTGACTTCTTGTTGCCGTGTTGCTACTTGATATAATTAACATACCTGAAATGGCTGCTATTACTTTAAGACTATTATTAGCAACGCTGTCGCTGTTGGTACTACTTTCAATGCTATTATTATTTGTGCTGCTATTACAAATATTGTTATTATCAGTATTATTGTTATTCGTATACTTGCTACTGCTGGTATATTCTATTATTACGATTACTAGGAGATGAGTAGTATTCTCACTTTTACTCTTATTGTCACTGTTGCTATTGATTATTACTGCTCCTTTTATTATCACAATTTGCGAATATTATTTCGACTATTCCTAATCCTGACCAGTCTTCTTGCCCTTCCCTAAACCCTAAACCCTAAACCCTAAACCCTAAACCCTAAACCCTAAACCCTAAACCCTAAATCCTAATCCCTGAACCCCACATCCTAAACCCTAAACCCTAAACCCTAAACTCTAAACCCTAACTCATAACCCTAAACCCTAAACCCTAAACCCTAAACTCTTCATTGATTAGTTGGTCGCACCCCCCACGCTTCCCTGCCGCCTCAGGTCCTCCGAAGGCGCGAAAGGCTCTCCGGCCATAGTTGCACCTCTACCAGGCAGGGTTTAGGGTTTAGGGTTTAGGGTTTAGGGCCTAGGGTTTAGGGTTTAGGCTTTAGGGTTTAGGCTTGAAGGTTTAGGGCCCCTTAGTTGAAGTTCCAGAAGGGCGGGTGTGGGAAGCTACTATAAGGGGCTTCAGTGATGAGAATACGGTTTCGGGGTTCATTTTAGAGGGGCTGAAAGGGGATGCTACTACTAGTTACTTGGATCCCTTTGTTGTTCGACGGTATTTCAGAACCTGTTGCCCGCGGAGCCCGACTCAACTCGTAGGGGGGGCCCTGATACAAAATCCTGAATAATGGGATGCTTTTCCGTAGGGATTCCCCATACCCCTAAACCCCAAACCCCTAAACCCGAAATCCTAAACCCTAAAAGGCACACGAACTTCAAGAACCCCTCTAAGCCTTCAGCCCCAAATCCTCACATGCTCTATACGGGGCCCAACTAGCTGAGCATAATTAGAAGTCTTATGTTAATCCTTCAGACCAACACCCAAAACTCCTCTTGCAAAGCCCTTATAGTGCCTTACTCTCTACCCTGTACAGGACCCTAAAGAAGCCCAAAAGCCATATGTTCGCCCGGGGCCTCCTCGCGCAATGAAGCATGGACCGAAGTCGTGGCTGAGGAACGAGAACCTGGCTACGGGGTTTCGGGTTTTGGGATTTAAGGCTTCGAGGTCTAGGGCTTTAGGGTTTAGGATTTGGGGTTTAGGATTTTGGGGTTTAGGGTTTTGGGGTTTCGGGTTCGGGATTTCGGGCTTTGGGCCTTAGGGTTTCGGGATCTGGGATTTAAGCATTTAGGATTTTAAGGGTAATAACCCAAGTACCCGATAAATCGGTAAGGGTTGAAGAACCCCAAACCCGATCAGTACAACCCTAAACCCTAAACCCTAAACTCTACACCCTAAACCCTAAACCCTAAACCCGAAACCCTAAACCCTAAAGCCTGAACCCTAAACCCTAAACCCTAAACTTCGAGGCCTGTATTTTGGACCAGTGGTGGCTTTGCCGTTTGGAGCTTCGGACCGGGCGCTTAGAGGTTTAGGGGTTTTGGGTTTTAGGGTTTAGGGTTGAGGGTCTAGGGTTCAGGGCTTAGGGGTTTAGGGCCTAGGGTTTAAATATAGGGTTTAGGGTTTAAATTTAGGGTTTAGGGCTTAGGGTTTAATTTTAGGGTTTTAGGGTTTGGGTTTAAGTTTAGGGCTTAGGGTTTAAATTTAGGGCTTAGGGGTTTAGGGTTTTAGGGTTTAGGGCTTAGGGCTTACAGGGGTTTAGGGTTTAGGGCTTAGGGTTTAAATTTAGGGTGGAGGGTCTAGGGTTTCGGGTCGAGGGTTTTGGTTGTTTGGTTTTGGGTTTCGGGTCGTCTAGGGTTTAGGGTTTAGGGTTTTGGTTGTAAATTTAGGGTTTATGGGTTTAGGGTTTGGGGCTTAGGCTTTACGGCCTAGGGTTTTGGGTCTAGGGTTTCGGGTCTAGGGTGTAGGGTTTTGGGAGTTGAAGCTCAGGGTTGGGGCTGCGGGTGCCTGTGGAAAGCTATTCAGAACTCCCTTCTTAAGCCCATGAACCCTAAACCCTAAATCCTGAACACTAAACCCCAAACCCTAAACCCTAAGCCCTGAACCCTAAACCCTAAACCCTGAACCCTAAACCCTAAACCCAAAGCCCTGAACCTTAAACCCTAAACCCTGAACCCTGAACCCAAAACCCAAAACCCGAAACCCGAAATCCTAAACCCTAAAACCTAAACCCTGAACTTTAAATTAAAAGTTTTGAGCCCTAGACC